GCTACATCGTGGAAGTCCAGCCCAGACTACATAGTGAGACCCTGTCTCCAAAAAACCACAACGATACACCCACATAATTTTACTAAAATATCCTGGGGAAAACTTACATTTCAAATGTACTCAACTAGCCAGATATGGTGGTGGCCTGGGCTACAACGTGAGCACAAGGCCAGCTGGAACTGCACAACGAGACCCTGCCTCAATCAATAAATTCTGTAACAGATGAGTTGGTTTTAAGTATAAAAAAGTATTTAAACTGGGTGTGGTGGCACACGCCTGTAATCCCAGAACTCATGGGAGGATGAGGCAGGAGGATCTTTGCAAGTTCGAGACTAGCCTGGGCTACAAATTGAGCTCAAGGCCAGCCTGAACTGCATAGCAAGACCTTGTCTCAAAAAAAGAAAGAAAAGACCATGGTAGTAGGTTTCACATAAAAATCTAAAAGAACTGGGGAGTCTAACCTTTCGAAGAAATAATAAATTTCAATCTTCTGAGGTCTGCACCTATCTCAGTTTAAGACAGAAGGCTCATGTGACTAAAGCACAGTATACTGACAGAAAACAGCAGACACATCTTGCAAAACAGTACAATTTTGATTTAAGGGCTGAAACAAGCACCCATTTGGTGAAATTCAAGCATGAGCCCTTTTTCAAGCAATGTATTCTTCAAACATTACATTTTATTTGTTTTTGAGATGGTAGTTCAGGCTGATCTTCCTTGAACTCAGTGAATATTCCGGTCTGGCCTCAAACTCCTGGCAATCCTACCTTAGCCTTCCAAGAGTGCTAAAATTACAGGCATGCCCTACTATGCCCAGCCAAACATTACACTGTGATGGGGTGGATTAGAGTGTACATTAGTTGGTAGGATAAAAAAAATGCAAACCTAGTCCAGCTTGCTGGCCGTTAGCTATAATCTCAGAGCTCTGGGAGGATCAGGCCAGAAAATTCCAAGTTTCAGCCCAGCCTGGGCAACTAAGAGATGTCTCAAAATACAAAAAATGTGAAGGACCTGCTTTCAACCCCCAGTATCACACAAATTATTACTTTCTGTAATGATGCAAGATTTCTCAAAATTTTTGTTCTTTTTTGAGACAGGGCCTCACTCTGCAGTTTCACGCTGGCCTTGAACTAACTCTGTAGCCCAGGATGTCCTTAAACTTACAGCAATCCTCCTGCTTCAACCTCCCAAGTGCTGGGACTACACATGTGCACCACCACACCAGGCTGTGTCAAGTTCTAAGGGATGATAATTTTCTAAAAGACTGAAGGTGAGGTATGAGAAAGAGTCCAGGACATATACACCAAGTCTTTGGCCTGAGTGATATGAAAATTGGAGTTTCATTATGAAAAGGGAGCCAGGCACGGTGGTACACGCCTATAATGCCAGGACTACGGTGGCAGGGGAAGGAGGACGAAGCCAGCCTGAGCTACACAGTGAGTTCAAGGCCAGCCTGAACCACAGTACATAAAAAAACCTATCTCAAAAAAGTAAATAAATAGATTCATCAAAAAGGGCTTAAAAAAAATAAAAAAAAGAAGGGCTGCTGGGCATGGTGGCACAGGCCTGTAATCCCAGCACTCGGGAGGCTGAGGCAGGAGGATTGTTAGAGTTCAAGGCCAGCCTGGGCTACAAAGTGAGCTCAAGCCCAACCTGCACTGCAGCGTGAGACCCTGTCTCAAAAAGACCAACAACAAAAATTAAACCCATTAAGTATGGGCAAAAAAGAGGACCCTCACTCCAACAGAAGTAGAAACACAAGAACCTAAAGGTGAAGCAAAAAGGTTCATGGAAGATAGTGGTATGTATGACTAAATGACAAACATAGGTTTAACAGGTGAGGTTCATGGAAGATAGTGGTATGTATGACTAAATGACAAACATAGGTTTAACAGGTGAGGATTGAAAGAAGTACAAGATTTAGCAACATACACCTCTACCTCTTACTCCTCACATTTTTGGGAGCTTTTCTTTTTTTTTTTTTCTTTTTGAGACAGGGTCTCACTATGCACTTCAGGCTGGCCGGCCTTGGGCTCACTTTTTAGTCCAAGCTGGCCTTGAACTTGCAATGGATCCCCCTGCCTCAGCCTCTCGAGTGCTGGGATTACAGGCGTGTGCCACCACGCCCGGCTACACAAATTAGGCTATTTTGTAGTATTATGTCTTGTCCAAGGTTAAGTTTTTTTCCCCCATTATCTGTGCTTTCACATGAAATATTCCTGATCTCAGTTTGATCACTAGTTCCTTTACTGCAGGCACTCCCATCTTCCATATTCTAAGACATTTTCACATTGCTCTAACATTTTTTTTTTCCTTTGTCTTTTTGAGACAAGGTCTCACTACGCAGTTCAGGCTGGTCTTGCACTCACTTTGTAGCCCAAGCTCCCCTAGAATTTGCAACAGCCTCCCAAAGTGCTATGATCACAGGGGTGCGCCACCATGCCCAGCTAACATTAAAAGTTTCTAAAAATAAAACCCTGGTATCATTTCCCTGTTTGGAATCCTCAAACTAGGTGTGGTGGCACACGCCTGTAATTCTAGCACTCAGGAAGCTGAGGCAGGAGGATAATATTAAGTCAAGAGGCCAGCCTGGGCTACAGCGAGTTCAAGGGCAGCCTCTACAGCAATATCCTGCATCTCAAGGAAAAAAAAAGAATCTTCAATTACTCACTACCGGAAAAAAAAGAAAAATCCTTGACATGGTACTGAAATTTTTATGATCTGATTTTTTTTTTTTTTTTGGTTTTTCTCCAGTACCGGGAACCAAACTCACGACCTTGCGCTTGCCAGGCAGGCGCTTTTTGCCGCTGAGCTAAATCCCCAGCCCCTTTATGATCTGATTTTAACCTAAGATTCAATTCAGTTCACATCCCCTTAAAAATCATTCCCTGACCTCTTAAATCAAATACCCATTTCTACATGTTTCTGTAGTATTCCTGCTTATTGCTAATCATGGTGCCATTATCCCACCCATCTGTCTCCCTCAGTAGGCATTAAGTCTCTTAGAACTAATACTTTTCTATTCCCCAAAGCAGAAAAACATGACATAAAATGATTGATTTCTAGAAATAAAGAATAAATAACACTAAATCTAAAGTAAACAGCCGGAGACAGATGTGGTGGCACACACTTTTAATCCCAGCACTCATGACACTGAGCCAGGAGGATAAGAATTCAAGGACAGCTGGGGCTGGGGATTTAGCTCAGCGGCAAAAGCGCCTGCCTGGCAAGCACAAGGTCGTGAGTTCGGTTCCTGGTACCGGAGAAAAACCAAAACCAAAAAAAAAAAAAAAGAATTCAAGGACAGCTGGGGCTGCAAAGTGAGTTCAATGCCAGCCGGAACTGCAGAGTAAAACCCTGTCTCAAAAAGGCGCACGCGCGCGTGCACACACACACACACACACATTCCACTGCAGAGCCAGGTATGGAGGCACATGCCTATAATCCAGCACTCAGGAGGATAAGACAAGAGCAGGACTATTTTCAAAAAAAAAAAAAGAGAACATTTCACTGTAGTAACTAAAATACTAAAGGTTAAAAAAATTCTTAACTCTAGCTAGTCATGTTTTCACCAATCTCTGCATTATTTATTCTTTTCAATCCTCATAAAAATACAGGAAGCACAAAGGTCAGTTTATAAGAAGTGAAAAGGCTCTTACTACCACCACAGCAAACACACTAGACAGTCCAATAGGTAACTGGACTTCAAATCAGAACTGGAAAAGGATTTAGCCTTATATCCTCCTTAATCTGGATGCAGAAATTAAATGTTTTATCTTCTGCTTTCTGCAATTAAAAACCCTACCCTCCCTTAATGCCTGAAAAAAATCCTGCAATGAAATAACATTCTATTAGTATAGCATGTCTTTTGTGGTATGACTCACATTAAATTTAGCTAATATAATCCAGGATACTACCACAAACCTAAAGATTAAGTGACATTTTTACTAATTTGCAGTAATATAAGAAAAAAGACTCTCTAGCATGTCCTTGCCTTATTGCTATTAAAACAAGACGTTTCAATCTGAAGTGTAAATTTCAGCTCCTCTGATTACCAAAAACTCTCTAATTAGCCCCAGTTAATTGAAAACTGTTACACTAGTACACAAAAATTGAAGATGCCTCTCCTGGAAAATATCACAAGCTCTATACCCAAAAGGGTTAACCTAAACGCTTCCAGGGGCTATAACCTACACCACATCAACTAAAATGAGTCTGCTTCCTAGTCTTTGCAATGAAACCAAGTGGACCTTACACCTCTTACCATCACCCAGGAAGGGTGTGCATCTGTTCCGAAGGCCCCCCTGGCTCCAGGTCATCCTGGCTGATGCTGCTCCAGGCTGGGCATCCATGTTGCTGCAGCTTGTGGTTTGTGAGGAGTAGTGTACAGGAAAAGCAGGATGGGATTTTCAAGGGAAACAGGAGGAAGATGGCTTTCCACGAAAATGCCATCACTGTAATAGGTGTTAAGTAGTACCACACACATTTTATTGCAGCACAGTTTAAAAATTTAACAAATCAAAGATTAAAAATAAAAAACAAAAATAAAAAAAATTAAAAATACAGACGTCCAGAGATGCTCTAAAACAGTTAAGTTAAAGATCAGGAAAAATAAGGTCACAGACTTAACAGCCAGTAAAATTATTTCCAGTAAAATTATTTCCAGTGTGGGGAAGGGGTTGAGGGCAAGGGTGAGGTTGGGAGAGAAGGTTTATGTGATCAATCCACTTAAAAATGCTAATGCCTTTGCTTTCTCTCCCAAGGTGTAAAATTCCAAAGTTAATCAGGAGGCCGAAGAAATTCTTACAAACATTCAGAAAAACTCGATTTTAATCCGGTTAAAAATCATCAGTGTCATTATCATCATCATCATCACCATCATAAGTATAATAATAAATAATTAATAATAATAATAATAATAATAATAACTAGTAACAACAATAAAAAGGAAATCAGCGGAAAGTCAGGAAAAATGTAAAAAAAAAATTGGAGTAACTTACTGTAGCTGAAGATCAAAAAAATCTCACTGTAAAAAAACAAAAATAAAAATAGCCCAGATTAGAAAAACGGGAGGTGAAAAAATGTCAAGTAAGTAAAGTTCATTTCTTTTCTTTCCAAAAGCAGTTTCCACAAAAACCGCAAGGGTAATGTTCTCAGTAGCAGACAAGCAAAGCCCTTTCCACATCATCCATCAATCTTAAAAATACACGAGGAAGTAGAGAGGTCAGTTTATAAGAGGCTAAAAGGCTCCTCCTCTAACCCAACTGCTAAAAAATAGAAATATTAAAAATTACATCTTAAATCCAGGTCCCGTTTTTGGAAACAGTTAAAAAAAAACACCTGTAAATTTGCTGTAGTGCACACCATGTTGCATCATTATGTATAAAATGTCTTTATAAAATCGGTTTTGAAATGGGAATGTGTGTGTTCTGAAAGGGTGGGGAAAGGAGGTTAAAAATCAAAGCTGAGCTCCAGTGAGTAGGGATGGGGTTTCGCCTTGCTGCCCTGTGAAAGGAGAAGGGACAGATTGAGTCAGAGTTCCTCAGAAATGTTGTGCCCTAACCCCTGACAGAAACATCTGTCTATTGCATCTAACACATTTTGGTAAAGCATAACATTTCACTGGGATGGGAAGAGCCTTTATAGAATCATCACTTTTACCAGTGACTGTCTTTACAATTCTGTAACACCAATAGGTAATTAAAATTAACTAAATATATGTCAACATCCCCTTAGGGGCTCCAAAGGAGTGTACATTTGAACATTCATGTTGATAATCAGCAGTTTGGGCAAAGAAAATAAAGAACCAGGCCAACATAGAGATAAAAGAAGTGAACAAATGTCCAATACTTGAAAAGGTAAGCAGATTCATAGGTTTTAAAATTTTAAGTCCATGTACTTAACACAGACCAAAGGTATTTTAAATAGTCTACCACGAAGATATACACTAGAGATGAGTCATCTATTCTCAAAACCAATGAGTGAGCTCAGATCCGTGGTACATGCCTGTCATTCCAGCTGCCTGGGAAGCTGAGGCAGAAGGATCCCAAGTCTGAGCCCAGCCTGAGCAGCTTGGCAAGACCCTGTCTCAAAATAAAAGGACAGGGGGATATAGGTCTGTGGTAAAAGCCTTGCCTAGTATTCACCAAGGCCCCTGGGATCAACCCCCAATACTGAAGAAAGAAAAAAGCAGAGAGAGAATAAGTGATCAAACCACAAGGCCTGATAGGGAAAAGATGTTCAAGGAGCCCTTTCTGTCTACTGACAATGAAGAAAATCATACATATGAAAGGGAATGCTTATCTATGTGGCCACTGAGAATTTAATGTCATAAACAGATGAAAACATTCTGGTCCTTGTGGAATGTCTGTGGTTCACTTCAATACATCACCACTAATTACAAGGTATAGATTAAAAGAACCTGATACCTGACACAAACTGATGGTTATATTAAGTAGGAGAACTGCAATTAGATTGTAGCTCACTATGCAAATAAACATGAAATGGTTCTAGTCACATTTCATTATTTAGCCATGAAGTCTTATATTGTCCCTTCAAACTTCAGTCAACTCAAGCATCTATTTTCTGGTTTTTTGAGACAGGGTCTCACTACATCATTCAGGTTGGCCTTGAACTCACTATGCAGCACAGGCTGGCCTCAAATGTGTGACAATCCTCCTCTCTCTGCCTCCCCAGGGCTGGGATTACTGGTGTGTGCCACCACACTCAGCTAAACTGAGTGTTTAAAGTGATTAAGCTGAGTTTGGAAAACTGATTTCTTGAGCCAAAAATATCAACTATTACAGCAACAGAACAGGTACCAAGATTTTAACAAATTTTTAAAGTCGACAAACTCGAGCATGATGTGTAAGTTACTTTTAAACTTAATTGTGCAAAAACTATATAAAGTTTATGTGTAAAAACTACATAAAGTTTATGTGTAAAATTTTAGAAAGTATACATTTGAATGTTACCTGTTCTGAGTCAGTATTTTGGAATTAACAATGCAGCGTTCTTATTCAGAATCACAGTCTAAACCTGCACAAAAATTATCAAGATTCAAGGGTGGGGTACATGTCTGTAATCCCAGCACTGGAGGTTGGGAAAGAGGAATCAAAAATTCAAGTCCAGCCTGGGCAACTTGGGGAGAACCTGTTTCAAAATTTAAAACATGAAGGCACGCTGGGAATGTAAAGAGAAGGCTCTGGGTTCAATCCCCGGTACCATGAAACAAGTTTTTTCTTCAGATGTTAACTTCACGACTCATCCACAAGCAAATCCTTTGCAAGCGTGCCACAAGCTAAAAAAGCAATACCGTGAAAGCATTTATATCCTTCTATGTCAAGATGTCTCCCCTAAAAGACATGTTAAATTGATGTGCTTCAACTAAAAAAAGGGGGGATCCAAATAAGCAATTTTTTGTAACATTTTTTCAATTAAGAGTATCACTAGATAATACTTTGTAAAAATCCCCTAAGGTCTGGATTCCTTCTACAAGTACTCTCAGCAAACTGACAACCACCAGCATGAGCACCATTACTTGCTTGTACTACCGATCCAATTTTTTTTTTCTTTTTGAGACACGGTCTCACTGCACAGTTCAGGCTGACCTCGAACTCACTTTGTAGGCCAGACTGGTCTCCAACTCTTAATGATCCTCCTGCCTCAGCCTCCCAAGTGCTGGGATTATAGGCGCACCATCATGCCTGGCTACAGATCCAATTCTAAAGCCCCATCAGACTAACCCAATTAGAAATTCTTATGCTTTAACCAACAAAAAAAGGGAAGCCAGCTGTGATGGCGCACACCTATAATCCCAGTACCCAGGAAGCTGAAGCAGGAGAATCCTGGCCAAGTTTGAGGCCAGCCTGAAGCACACAGTGAGACACTGTCCCAAAACAAAACACAACACTGCCATGCTGTGAAGCATATGTCTGTAATGCCAGCACTCAGGGAGGCTGAGGAAGGAGGATCACTCCAAGTTTGAAGCCAGCCTAAACTACACAAGATATTGTACTAAAAGTTTAAGAGAAAAAAAATTTCAAAAAAAAAAAACAAAAAAAAAACCTTGCCAGGCATGGGGGTGCAAGCCTGTAATCCCAACACTTGGGAGGCTGAGCCAGGAGGATCCTTGCAAGTTCAAGGACAGCCTGGGCTACAAAGTGAGCTCAATCAAGGCTTGCCTGAACTGCACAGCAAGACCCTGTCTCAAAAAAAGGCAGAAAAAAAAATTGAAAAAAGTAAACCTTATCTTATAAATATTATCTTATAAATATTATCTTTCACACTGATTCAGTGACTCTTCCAAGGGAAGTTAAAATGTTTTTTTTTTTTCCTTTTCTAAATCCAAAACGTTCATCATCTATAATGAACACCCCTAGCTACGCTTCATCTAGCACCACTGGTTTTTGCCAGATCCTCCAATAAATCTTTATTTATTTATTTTTTTGTCTTTTTTGAGACAGGGTCTCCCTATGCAGTTCAGGCTGGCCTTGAGCTCACTTTGTAGCCCAGGCTGGTCTCGAACTCAGTGATCCTCCTGCCTCAGCCTCCCAAGCACTGGGATCACAGGTATGCGCCACCACGCCTGGCTAAAAATTTTTATTTATTTATTTATTTATTTTTTGTCTTTTTCCTCTAGTAAATCTAACATGTACAAAATCATAATCTTTCCAGTACCCAATGAAAATGAATATATACTGGAAGTATGAACAAATGTTCCTCAAAGACAACATACTGACATACTGCTTGAAAGCAATTCACAATTATTAATGTAGAAAACATAATCATAAAACTTCCTGCACTTTTCAGCCCTTCACAACAAATGACTTTAATTACAGAAATTCAAAGAAACAGTTCCCTTATTTTGTAACTATAAAACTAAAATGCAGAAGTTTTAACTGAGTTGCCCAAAAATGAGATAAAATCAGCAACGGGGGAAAAATGTAGTTCTAACTCCTACGCCAACTTCTTTCCATGGTTTACACTCTCTAGTTAATTAACACTTCTCACACTCACCATTAATATATTTAATTTTTTGTGTGTGGTACCGGGAATCTAACTCAGGACCTTGCGCTTGCCAGGCAGGCACTTGCGTCACTGAGCTATATCGGCGGCCCATACTTAATCTTTAAAATTAGAACACCTAGCTATTTTGGAATACTGTGTATTCCTTGCTTATTTCTAACTGCCATTCCATACAAAACAAGGTCACATGTAATGTCAAATTCTATAGATCTAATTATAAACCCTAAGAATGTTTAAATACAGAAGGAACACCAAATAACAAGTGTTCCCAAGAATGATTCACATAGGCAATAAAGGAGGTCCAAATACCTGCAACTTCGTTCCTTTTAAACCCTTCTAAATTGAAAATGTAAACAATGCTTACCTAGTTGAGAACACATTAGAATTGACACTAATTTTTCAGCTGGAGTGCCTGGTATTAACTCAGGAATTTCTGTTACCTTCGTACATGATGATCCTCAAAAATCTCTATTTCTAAGAAAATTTCAACAGCTACCAGTAATTGCTCCGTATTAATTTTTGACATTTACTAATACTTAATAGATTACTTCCTATTAAATCAATTACTGCCCTCACATCTCACTTCTAATCACTGAGCATTGAAAAACCAGTTTTCGTTTTTGGTTTTTTTTGAGACAGGGTGATTCCCTACCTAATCCAGGATGGCCTTGAATTTGTAGTGATCCTCCTGCCTCAGCCTGTCAGTGCTGAGATCACAGGGTGTACCACCACACCTAGCCATTGAGAAATTAGTTTTTGTTTTTTCTTTTTGAGACAGGGTCTCCCTAGGCAGTTCAGGCTGGCCTTGAGCTCACTTTGTAACCCAGACTGGTCTCGAACTCACAACGATCCTCCTGCCTCAGCCTCCCAAGTGCTGGGATTACAGGCGTGCGCCACCACACCCAGCAAGAAATCAGTTTTAAACCCTTGTGTAATACAAATGTTTATGCTTTTAAAAATGAAAGGCAGCCAGGATTGGTGGCACAGGCCTGTGTCCCAGCACTGACAAAAGCTGAGACAGGATTACAAACTCAAGCCCAACCTGGGGAATTTAGCAAAATCCTGGCTCAAATATATGGCTAGAACAGTGCTGAACGTCCCTCAGAGTTTGATTCCCAGTAAAGCAAAAATAAAGACCATATTTTTGATCTCTTTTCTACCAAGCCGGTTTCCGGGGTAAATTTGTGCAGTACTGTTTTATACTGTACTTAAAAGCACTTATTTTTGTGAAAATACCATCAACCAAATCTTGCACATGGATTTTTTAAAGTGACCTTCCAGTAAGTGAATGTGACACTAAAGACCTGTGTCATCATTTTTTATGATTTATCATATCAGGGGTTTTTAGGGTTTTTTTGTTTTTGTTTTTGCTATACTGGGAATTGAACCCAGACCCTCCATAGGTTATGTAAGCTCTTTATCACTAAATTACACATCAAACCCCAATTCTTTTTTTTTTTTTGGTCTTTTTTGAGACAGGTCTCCCTATGCAATTCTTGCTGGCCTTGAGCTCACTTTGTAGCCCAGGCTGGCCTTGAAATGACAATGATCGTCCTGCCTCAGCCTCTCCAGTGCTGGCATTACAAGCATGCACCACCAGATCGGCTTTAATTCTTAATTTACAAAAAAAATTAATGCAGTTTCAGTACCAAGTAAATAGTAGGCACTGTAATAGCATTTTTGACATTCTAGAAGGATGGGATTGATTCATGCCAGAGTATGCGGCAAAGTTAATTTTTAAGTTTTTCATCTTTGGAAATCAACCACAAATCTTGTAATCACTTTTCCCAACGACAGTTTCAAAATTTCCAGTTCCTTGGCGTTTCTCTAAATTGGGTTCTCCTCAAGATTAAAATAGTATTTAAGTACCTACCATTCCAATTATTAAGTAAAACTACCTGACCTACCTACTGGTCAAATTCCTTGGTAGGGTTGCTACTGATTTAATATGATCCTGACAACCTTATGCCTTAGTTTCTAACTGAGAAAGGAATACCTACCTGAAGCAAAGTCCCACTAACTTATATATTTCAAGTGATTTGTAACCTGCAGACAAAAAGTCAGCTGTAATTATTAGTGTTAATTAGGCTACAAAACTTCCTTTTACAAACCAAAGAGAAAATAACCAGTTCGAGTTCCATCATCTGGTTACAAAGAAAATGAAAAGTGGTCAATAAAAAACAAATTAGTGTCCAGCATGGCGGCGCACGCGAGGGGGGGCGCCTGAGGCAGAAGGATCGCCGCCAGTCCGGGGCTAGCCAGGGCTACAGAACAAATTAAAAGCCAGCCTTGCCGGGCGTGGTAGCGCACGCCTGTAATCCCAGCCCGGGGGAGGCTTAGCAGGATGATCTTGAGTTCGAAGCCGGCCTGGACTACAAAGTGAGTTCAAGACCAGCCTGAACTGCAAAGCGAGACTGTCTCCAAAACGGAAAAAAAAAAAAAAAAAAAGCCAGCCTAAATTACAAAAAGTACCACCACCACCCCCCAAAAAACTAGCTCTAGGATTAAAATACTACCCTTATGGCATTTAGCAGGATCCGGAATTCAGAGGCTCGCAAAACATCTATTTGACGATCCTGTTCTAGTCCCCGCCTAAATTTTAAATTTAAGGCAGCCGGCGTGCTGACGCACCCAAGAAATTCTAGCAGTTGAGGCTGAGACAGGAGGATCGCCCTGAGTTGAAGGCCAGACTGGAATAAAGAGACCCTGTCTCAAATAACATTCCAAAAAGCAAAAATAAATTTAAAGCAACAAACGGAAAAAAGGCATCAATAATACATTAACTTCAATTATGTTAACAAGCAGCTCAATCTTCACTTTCGCCATCTCTGCGAGTCTTGACGGTCGTAGAAAAGGAAAAGAAAAGCAGCCGTTAAACGCCAGAGCGACAAAGGACGTTCTGCCCGACGGTAGCAGCCTGGAGTAAAGTAGGTTAAAGCTACGCAGAGGCTACGGCCTGAGAAACTCTCCCCACTTCACCCCGACAAACGGGGCCTGGTACTGACCGAGTGAGAATTCCTGCGTCTTTCTCTCCCACACTCCCTCGAGCCCCCTGAGCAACCCAGCGCATCGCTGCCGTCCACCCTCTACACTTACCAGGAGAGGGATGAGAGAAGAGATTCGATTCCGAATCTCCTACTCCCAGGTTCTACGTGGAGAAGTCGACTGCTGCTCGAGGTCGACGACGCGGTCGCAACCGCTCAGTCTCCGTCTCTTCACAAAATGGCCCCCGAGTCTCCTCTGCCGCCGAGGCGAAGGCCTAGCCCCCGCCCTATTCGCAAGAGCTTTCCTATTGGCTGTGCCTTTTTTCGCTCCAACTGCTAATTAGACAGTTTTACCGCTCTTCACAATTCTGCCCAATCACAATCAGCAGTGGGTGAGGCTAAACCCCACAATTTCCACATGCGTGACACAAACTAGTTTGTAACTGGCTATCTTTCCTGTCACTTAGTACCTGAAGACTGGTTATTGGCCACTGTACCAGACAGAGTGGGGGGATGGAAGTTCGTCTTTGTATCGCGTACCGCTTCACATCCGGGTATCTGGGAAATCTGACCGGCGGCTTCATTGTCCAATCGCTGCTGTTTACAGTGCCTAGCGGAAGGCCGGCCCACAGCGCGGAATTCCCGCGGTGCGCGGGCGGGGTCTGTGAGGGCGGTAAGCAGCGTGCGAGAAAGATCTGCCTTGGCCTCGGGCATAAGAAAAAGAAAACGCGCCAAAAGGAAACTCCCCCACGCTGCTTGGATAAAGAAAGGCCCTTTCTTAGAGTGGACAGGCAGCGGTGGCGAACAGGCCATGTTCAAGTGTACACACCGAGCAGGCCCGCAGCCTGGCAGCCGTCTCCGGTCTCCTGACTCCCGGACGTCCCGCCTGTGCGCGTCAGCCCTCCCCGCCGCGCGTCCCCCGCCCGCCGACGCCCTGCTCCTCGCCGGGGCCAGAGAGGAAGGAGGCGACTTCATTTTGTGTGTTCGCCTTTCGCTTTCAAGCAGTACATGCGTACAGGGAAAACGTCTTTTTCTAACAGTCCTGAAAGGGGTACAACGACAAAGGGAAAAAGTGTCTGTCCCCAGAGTTAGCTTTCTTCTGAGTGCGAAGCTCCGTCCTCTGCTCGCCGCCCCGCTAACCCGCAAGCCGAGCCACGCGGCCCGGCCCCGCGTAGACACCCTCCTCCCGGGCGGGCCCGCCCTGTGCGCCGGCGGCTGCGCGGG